GGAGCAGGTTAGGATTTTGGATGGTATGCCATCCAACCTTTGTGAACACTTTTTTAAAATTGTTTTTATTACAGGCATTTTAAGCCACCTGTCGCTGAGACCCCTGTAGACTGCATGGCATGTTCTGCTACAGTTCACCACAGATGGCCGTGGAGGTTGATACACTGAGTTGCCTTAAATGTTTGCACTTTGAATGAGGTGGAGTCAGCTGGGTGGATGATTTACTGCATTAGTTGAGGGTTGTATAGCCACTACTGATTTGCTGCCTGATCAACTGCTGATTTTTGTGTCCTGATTTTAAATGGGGATTCTTTTTATGAGACTGTTACAGGTGGATGGGCCCTGTGAATGTTTTTGTCAACTGCTAGGGTCTGCTAAGGGTGGGGCAGTTTGCAGCCCTTCTCCCTCTTCTTCAAGTGTTCTGCCAGACTGACAGGGTGGTTGACTGGGAGCCCCTCTTCCCTTCACTGCATGTCGTGTGTGTGTGTATATGACAGCTGTGTGCGGACCTTTAACTGAGCCTTGTTGTGTGTGACTTGCTGTCTTTAGGTGGTGGTGCACACCTGTGGGTGGTGGTGTCAGGGCATCCTGGTGGCAATTGTGCTTTTGCTTTTATCCTTTAGCATCTCTGCAGCATTGGCCTTAACATCTTGTTGGTTTATTGTTTGAGCTTGTGTAGTTAATAAAACTGCCCAAAACCTGATCTTTAAATTTTGATGTTTCATAAATCACCTTTCCAGTTGAAACCCATGTCTATCTTGTAAAGAAATGCTCTATAAAAATTAAATCCCATGGGTTAAAATGAGACATTATATCATGGATCTGTTCCTAAGCTTGCTTATTTGCTTGTAGTGCTACACTAACCTTCCTCTGTCTATCTGAACGCTGGACATGGGTCTACAAATGTTGTAACTAAATCTACATCTGTCTGCTGCAGAGGAAATAACCACAACCTGGAGCAGGAACTAGTATAAATGACTGTTGGTATAACATTATTTACAGTAGGTTTTAGTCTTCACTAACCCACTATGCTTGTAAATCATTTATGGGCATATGTGAGTGAAAGAGTTGCACTGCAGAGTCCTGCTTCACTGTACTGTTGTACATAAAAGCCTACTGTATATGACAAGTGTATTAAAAGACATAAGTTGACATCATCCTTATTTACAAGAACTGTGCCACAATTACAAGCTGTGGTTACCATAAATCATGATGTATGGTGCTGGAGGCAGGAGGGGTGTTCTGCTTTGTCCTGCCAGTCCAGCATTTATTTGAAGAGAGAGTGATAGTAGGTCCCCGCGACCCTGTATTGGATAAGCGGTTGACGATGGATGGATGGATGGATGGTGATAGTAGCTGATGGGGCCAGCCTTGCTACTATCGTCAGTCCTTAAACCTGCACAGGCTCACATCCTCCAGGTATTGGGGAAACTCTGGGAGGTCCTGAGATGAGTACCAGGGAGAAAAACTAAATGACTCAACTTCACTTTTATTTTACTTTACACAAGTATGAACAGTACAGAGCACGGCCTTTCCCTGGTGGTTCATCAAACAGAATTAAACCCAAAAAAGCATTAAAAGATCTGAAAGCCCCAGAGCTAGAGATCATTTTTGACTCTCATTAATGCTCACCAGGTTTCCCACATAAGTATGCCTACATAACCTATGAGAACTACAGGCTGCATTAAAAATATTTACTTAACAAACATAAGTATTTTACACGGTCAAAAATTGCAACGGAAAATAAAAAGTTTACAACTCCACAGATTTGTTTTGGAAGAGTTTTGTTTTGACACATAACAGTAGATGGTGGAAGCTGAGAGTTTTTAGCAGCTATAGCACCATAGAAAGAGCAGCTGAGAGGCAGGTGAAGTTCTGCACACCCTTCAAACTCAGTGATTAGCTTCCTTTGGTAGCAATGCAGCCTTCTCTTTGATAGAAACACAAGTCAAAAGGTCAAACCCTTATTGCCTGTTGGTGCCACAGAAAGGGGCAGAGTGACCTCTGCTGGTTGAGCTTCCACATAGCAAGAAGGCCTATAAATATGTTAGGAAACTAAAATATGAATGAAATAATAGAAACTTAAATAGGCTAACTGCGATCCTAAGCTACATATAACATTAGTTCACTTGTCTTAATCTGAAGTTACAGGTCACCAATGGCCTTACAAATGTTTTATTCTCCCTAACAGTTATTATTTTATTAGTTATTGTTTTTATTTCAGTTAACTAAAGTGTTTTTTGCACACCCAGTGCTACTTTAGTTTTACTAAAAACGTACTAATTACATGGTACTTGGGCTACTTTTATTTTGAAGGTTCTACCGGTTACTTTCGCTTCCAAAAAAAGAATAGACCACGTGACTTCCATTTTTGGTTTATAACGAAAAACGAATTGATTGAAGTTCACAGACTCTCTTCATTCTTTGTTAGAAATGGAATTACGATAAAATGAATTGCCAAAAACGAAAAACTTTGAATTGGTTTTTCGTTTTTTGATTCTGACACCAAAACAGGTCTTTGGTTTTTCGTTTTATATTACAAACAAATTACGGATTATCCAGAGATACCCAGACCTTAATGATAACAAAAAACTAAACTTTTCTTCTAACTTAAAACACCAAAATGTTAGCTGAAAAGCCTTTTTAAGCAAATACCTACTTTACCATAAATAAATGATCAAATTGTGGTTTCATTACATGTCTTACTCTATAGCTTGCTTGATTAGAGTGCTGGTTTCCACACCCCTTCATCTTCCACACCTCTTTTCATTCAGACCCAGGTTCGAATCCCACCTGCGGCAGCATTGATAAATGCTTTCAACTTCAAACACCTGTGTGCAGACTGTCTTGCAATGGTCTGTTTTAAATGTGTATGTTGTTAGTCTTTCTAAATGCAGTAATTATATATGTGGAATAAGATTGGTCGCTTTCTGTGTCTTTGTTATTTTGCAACACTGGACTATATGTCACAGAAAATATAAGCACAAGCAAAACAGTGCTCTGCCACGCATTTGTGGTCATTGATTGCCCTCTATTGGTGCTTTGAAGCATAACATGCATTCAGTTCCCACTGACTTGCTGTGGTGTTTTTAAATTTGTGTCATAGTGTTTCTAAATTCAATCAGTGTTAACCTGGATATCAGTGTTTCCTTAAAATAGTTGATAGCTCTATATATTTTATTTGACAACAGTGGACTGGACCTCACATAAATCAGCGCTGGACGGGCCCTCGCACGTGAAGAGTGACAGGTAGTGTTGCTCTGAAGTGTCACGTTCTTGACACTGGTGTGCCAGGAATGTTTGGTCATTGAGTGCCCTGTGTTGGTGCTTCAGAGGCATTTCATGTCCTTGAAAACCAGAGCAAATTGAGAAAGTTGAAATCAGCATTGAAACAGTGTGTTTCAGTAGTGCAGTGATTAAGTCCTTCTCCTGCCAACCCCAAAATTGGTGGTTTGAGTCCAAGGAATGGCATGTTGACCTCAATCCTGAGCTGAGCAAATGGTTCTACAAATGTCATTATTTTCTCAGTTCTTGCAAGGGTACAAAATTTTGAACACACGCCAGGAGGGTCAAAAACAAACAAGAAGTCGATCATTTTGGATTAAATTGTCATATTTGGCTTATCTTAAAGAGCTCATAGTGCCTTACTACCCCACCAGAGCACTGCGCTCCCAGAATGCAGGATTACTTGTGGTTCCTAGAGTCTCCAAAAGTAGACTAGGAGCCAGAGCGTTCAGCTATCAAGCTCCTCTCCTGTGGAACCAGGTTCCAGTTTGGGTTCAGGAGGCAGACACCATCTCCACATTTAAGAGTAGGCTTAAGACTTTCCTCTTTGATAGAGCTTATAGTTAGGGCTGGCTCAAACCCTACAGCTGAGACCCCAAATTCTTTTCTCTCCCTGAGAGAAAGAGGAGGGGGGGTTGAGATATCAACCCTCAAAAGACAGCTAAGTAACCCCAAAGGAGGGGGTGAAAGGTTTGCTTTCCCTATTTATACATATTAAAAGTTAAAAGACAGTCTCTCAGGAAACCGGAAACAAGGCCTTAGGAGAACAAAGCCAAGCCCCCTGGGGACACGCCCCAAGGGGACAGACAAACTAAACAGTGGAGCTCTTTGTTGCTCGCTCTCTTCTCGCTCTTCCCTTGTACTTCGACTCTCCAGCAGCTCTCGGCACGCGCTCAGCGTGCGCCGTCTCCCAGCAACTACCTAACAAGTCTGGCCCTTGGCTTTTCCCTTGTTTCCAGCAACTTACTTGCTTTTAATTTCTTTTGTTTGTTAAAAGTTATCAGACCGTTAAGTCACACAATTTTAATTCAAGAACGACCAAGTTCTTTTAAGCTTTATTGTAGTTGAGTGAACTTAACTGCTCCCACCGAAGTTCAGACCCAGCCACGTGCGTCCGTTATGCAAGCGGTAACAAAGGACAATCAAACCTTTAACCTGAGCCAAGGTTAAAAGCCTACCACTGCAAGTTTTCTTCAATAAGCCCACCAAGATGGATCTCCTGAGCAATTCCCTGGCAGAGAAAGCGACCGGCCGACGGGTTTAAGCCGTCCTAACTGAGAACGCATGGAACCATACCTTGTTTTACACTTTCGAGTTTAGTTAATTATCTGTCTTATAGTATGTTGAGTTTTGGGTTCTGTCCTGTCTAGTGCCTGGTGTCCAGTATCTGTTATATAGTCCGTGTTTCAGTTATTCCTTGTGTCCAGTTACTGTGTGCTTGTGCTGGTTGGTCTGTTACTGTCTGTGTGTCTGGTTTGTGGTGATCTGTCTGCTTGTGTCTTTATTAGTTTATTTTTCTTCCTCTGGTCTGTTATGTGTTCAGTAACCTGTGTTCCGTCTGTTCCCCAGTTGTCACTTTGTCTGCCTGTCTCTCTCTGTTTTCCCTGCTGTCTCTGTCTGCCTCGTTAGCCTCATGCTCCTCACATGTGTTGCTCCCGCCCTGCTTGTTAGTCCCTGTGTATATGTACCTGCTGTTTCTGTCTTGTCTTGGTCGGGTCATTGATTATTGTCACCCAGTGTTACAGTGTGTTTCCTTGTGTTGCATTGTTTCAGTGTGTTGTCTTGTTGCCAGCCTACTCGCCGTGTCTCCCTGTTTCCCTGCTTATTTTGGATTTGGGATTCTGGATTTCTCGTTTGGATTACTTTGTTTGGACTCTGTTCGATCAGCCACTCTTCCTGTAAGTGCGCTCGCCTTTTGTTGCCTTTGTTAATAAACCACCAGAACTATACCTGCTAGCCTACGTGTCCTGCGTTTGGGTCCTCCAACCTGCCTCCACAACACTAACCGTAACGGCTGGGAGAAACGACAAGCAGTAAGGCTAAAACCCTGCATTCTCTGGTTGAGTTGAGGTCCAATAGTCTGTTAGCTTTAATCCTTAATCAATTCCAGCCTAAAACTCCTAGACAAATTTAACCGAGTTAGTATCATATAACCTGCGTTTATTAGCTCTTTCTCCCTATGAATCAAATTCTCCCCACAATAGAACAACTCAATTTACCTTGAACTCATTACACTCATTGTTTGCCTCATCTTTGTTTAGCTATTGTTTATTTCTTTGACGTATATTTAACCGCATTTATATCCACCGTAATCACAGGAACTGTGTGTGTGTTTTTAACTCCAGGTCACTCTCACGGAGGATTTACGCCCTTCGACATCAGACTGACTGATTGATTTAAGATAACTGAGCGATTATTAACTAACCGATCACTAGTGAATAATTGTGTAATTATTAAACTATAAGGTTACCCAGGGTCCGGAGACCCTGGGCGAACTGAATTTCCGGTGGTGCCCTTTTCGAGGTTTAGGAATTAATATTCTCTGAATATTAATAGTCATAATTTGTATTCCAAAAGTAGGTATGCTACAATGGCCTGACCGTGGGACACCGCTATAAAACAAATAGTTACCAATGTAAAAGAAACAGGTTAATGTCCATCAAAAGAAAGCGATGCTCTTTTCAACAACAGAATACTGGTAATATATCAGAACCAACCCAGCGATCATCTGACTTAGATGTTCCAGTAGTAGCTTTTCAGAGACTAAATACGCTTTTCTACGCCGTTAATGGAAAGTGAAAGTATTTCACTTGCCGGCTTGTGAAAGTGCCATGGTGCGCCCTCACTGGATTTCAGTTGTATTAGTAGAACAATAAAGCCTTACACTGAAAAGGGATTTGCGTGATTTTCTAGATGTTTGTATCCGCCCAGCTCTGTGACAAGCGCCCGACACCAGCGCTGATCTGCGTAACTGCACACAGCCTGGCTGACAGCTCATTTTGGATAGTGAAGCCTAATGCAGATTACAGACTGGTTAAGATATGAATGGAAAATGTAGCAAAATAATTTAAAGTAGGCAGGCATCCTCTCTTTAGGTAGGCTATAAGTAACAGCAGCACAAAAAAAGTCTTTAGTCTAAATTGAGACACTTTTCCTGCACCTGCCTCTTTTTTTCTCACTTAACTTTTCAGCACCACCTCTGCATTGTGTCACATGTTTTCCATCGGCCTACACCGTTGTCCGTGTTTCAAACGTTTATTTATGTCCGGAGAGTCAGGTCTCAGGGACACACAATATCAACCGTACCTTGAGGACAACCTGGTACAGAGCTCCACCTCTGAAGACCACTTGGAGCATTTGCGAATGGTGTGAAAGATAGCAGCATGGCGTTATGCTCAGCCCCCGCAAGTGTGAGCTTTTCAAGAGGAATGACCATTTTTCCTGGGAAAAATGGTCATTGGGAGGGTTATTCTATGCACCCTAAGGATTTAGCTACCGTCCAGGCACTCAAGGAGAGGAGACCAGGACAGCAGAGACAGATCCTGGGTTTTGTCTCATATTACAGATCATACATTAAGCACTTCTCAAAGGTCGCAAAGCCCCTGTAAGCCCTCCTCTCCTCAGACACATCAGGTTCAGACACACCCAACCCACCACCAGCCACAGTAGTCAAGGGAAGGAGAAAGATACCAGAAGAATTCCGCCACTGTGGGGAACTTGGAGAGTGAATGTGTCCTATTAAGCAGTGGCCGAAGCTTGTCCTGCCACGAGTTTTCCATTCCCTTTGTCTTCTATGAGCTGCATCAGAAGATGGGACATTTCTGAGTGGAGAGAACACTGAGCCTAATCAGAGAATGATATCGATGTTGAACATTTCGTCACCAAGAAATGTGACAAAATGGCAAAGAAGGATGAAAGAGGCCTATTCCATCGACAAACTTGTCTGAGCGCAGAGGACCTGGAAAACTAAGAGTGGACAAACACACAGCAGAAAGAAACCTCTTTCTAATCTTTCTCTAACTGTAACCATATACTTTTTAGACCTAAACCTAACCAAACCTTGATCCAAGGAGAAAAATATCATTTAATTCCTAACTCATGGACTCAGGAGACTGGTAAAGTGGATAAAGGTGCACCAAAACATGGAAATAAAATCGTGACAATAAGCTAGGAATCCAGTTTTGCTCTTTCCCACAGCAGGAACAGCAACTTTCCCAGCAGCCAGACGTCAGTGTAGATGGATCTACTTTATTCATACAAATCAATTCTTACACAGTCAGTGTACTCATAATTGGCTGTGAAGTCTTGAGACACAGACAATAAAATGTTCTGTTATTTCCTTATGATTGTATTATACAGGCATCTTGCTTCCTTGATTAAGGCAGTGATGTCTCTTACATAATCCACTAGAGATTTACAAGAACAATAAATAGACTTTAGACGTTGTTTATTCCTCTATCAGCCTTCAGATGTGGACACAGTTTCTCATGTAACTATTGATGGGAAAAACAAGTGAAACAAGTGAAAGAATCCTCAGCACATGTACATTCAGTCAATAAAAGCCAATAAAGCCAAACAAGAACACAGTTTCATTAGCAGAAAGTATATTTGCTCAAGTACTGAGTGCCTGTTCCTGTGCCTCTATGATTAGTGCTTCTGTGCTGTCCTTTAGTCCAGCCATTTTTAGCCTAGGATCTTTCTTTTCTTGATATCTGTGGCCTCTTTCTCCTCCTTTGGCCATTTTATTATACTAGTGGAGTATATGTGTATATATAGTTACCACTTTTTCCCTAACTTTTATTGATTGTGAATGTAGGACTTTTAAATTCATGCAATAAAGTCTGTATCATTGCTGATACGTGCAGAACACACAACTGACTCACACACACATTCTAACTGCATAATCAGCCCATTATCAGTTCTTCTAAACCATTAACCTGATCTGAAATCACAACTACAAGGGAGTGGTTTGTGTCAGGAAACAGAGTGCAGCGTCATATCTTTATGGGCAATCATTTTCCCGCACACAGGGTTGACTCATAGACAGCGTTCTGCGATCCACACAGCCTCATGAACGTGACTCTGTGGGTTCAGGTGTGTATATAAAGAGCAGGGTGGCCTCTTGTCATCACTGCATCACTCAGGTAATACTCGAACAACATCAACTCACATTTACCCGACAGAGCTTATGGTTCTGCTCTCTCTCTGTTTATTTATTGGCAGTTTTTTCTCCTCACAGAACAATCAGTGGATCCTCACCATGAAGACTGTCCTGGTCGGTTGCATTTTCCTCTGTGCTGCATTTGCAGGTCAGATTCAACATAAGTTACCCCACATACAGAACTCTCATCCATGTGCTCATGAGTCAGTCAGCATGCCTCTAACATAGAGTGGGACCTGTGCACACTGTCGTAAAGCTGTGCATAGCAGTTCATTTGATGCGTTCATACACACACACACACACACACACACAGGGTAAACAGAAAGGGAAAGAAGAGTTACTTGTGAACTCCTGTTACTGACCGTGTTGTGTTTCTCTCTGCAGCTCCCGCTGAAGACAAAGAAAAAAATCCAGGTCAGTTTGAAGGTCAACCTAAGCAATGCTTTGTGCTAGAGTTAATTAGTAAATGTTAGAATAATACTGTAACGCGCTTATAAAATGATAACCATTGTCAGTAACCTGCTAAACTATGCATGTTAGTATTATAAATATAATAAGTACAGCCTCACAGGGCAGATAGCATGGCAGAATACTACTTATCTAGTTTTAACTTATTTGGAGAGTTTGCCATTAATATGTCATTGTTGACTTTTTTGTAGTTGTGACAGAAGTGTAATGTCAAGTACTCTTAACTAAAAAAGCAAAGGTCTGATGAAGCGTTGATGTTTCAGAGATGGTCGAGAAGATGCCAAAAGAAGAGGAAGCATTTGTGCCTGTTTCCAGAACTGGTAATCAGAAAGGACCCACATCACTCTTAGCAATATATTCAACTAAACGAATAAGTTCAAGTAAAGAGATTTTTCAACAAACCTTCTCACAATGAGGAGGCTTAAGTAACCAACACATAGTCTCCACGTGTACAGTATTCTAACATATATGTAAAATATATACTGTATATACCAGATGATGGGGACTCGAGTTTGAGACCCGGACTTTAGTCCGACTTAAGTTGCTCAAACTCATGAGAGTTTGTTTGCTTGCCAAACTTGTGGTGGTCCATTAACGTAATCATTTATGTCCCGCTGGCTGCAAACAGGTTACAGGTTTATTGTTATTGTTATTATTACAGTTTTATTTAGTTAAGGTTTGAGAGTCTGCAGGTGTGTTAACTTACGGTAGTTAATAAGCTGTCATGCAATTGCATTGCACATTACATGGTTGTGCTCTGTAAGTGAAAATCAGGTTACAGTTAGAGAATTCCTTATTGCTACGCAGTGTTATAAGCAGCCTGGATTGAACACAGCAGGTGATACAACACGCATTATAATCACAAGTGACTTGAGACTTGACTTGGACTCTAGCTCAAAGACGTGAGCATCTCTGATATATACAATACTAACTGCTGACTGTGTTTGTCTGTTTGTGCAGCACATACATTTGATGAGGGAGCAGCACCTGAGTGTAAGCGCCACAATACTGTTTTGATCTTTGTATTGAGTAATGTCATCATGGCAACAACAATAATACAGCTCTTTTCAAATATCACAAATGTCTAAGTAATAGCATGACATGTTTAAAGGACCATAGCAGTATCTTTGCATGTGTTATTAAATACAACCTCAATGTTGTCCCTCTTTTGTCTCTCTGTAGCTCGTTTTAACTTCTGTCCAGACGGCTGGTTCAGCCATGGCTCTCGGTGCTTCATGTTCATCAATACACCCATGTCCTGGTACAGTGCTGAGGTACTGACTTCTATATTATCATTGTGAGCAGTCGGCCCCATTAAACTCATACACACTGTGAACAACTTCAATTAAATTTTTTTTCAATTCAGTTTTATTTATATAGCGCCAAATCACAACAACAGTTATCTCACAGCGCTTTTCATAAAAGAGCAGTTCTAGACCGTACTCTGTGATGTTATTTACAGAAGCCCAACAGTTCCCACCAAGAGCAAGCACTAGGCAACAGAGGCAAGGAAAAACTTCCTTTTAAGAGGCAGAAACCTCGAGCAGAACCATGGCTCAGGGTGGGCGGCCATCTGCCTTGACGGGTTGGGAGGGGGGGGAGAGAGAGGAACAGAGAGAGAGAGGGAGGGAGGCAGCCTACACAATATCCACACAGAGGTACAGACAGTAAAGGTGATGTTGCTATTGTAGCAGACCTAAAAATTTTAGTTATGCATTTTAATAAATTTATGAGAATTGATACCCAATTATGAATTAATATTCTTAAAATCAAAATTTCCTCGTTTCAGGGCACCACCGGAGTTGTTGTAATCCTAGAGTCTCCGGACCTCTAGGTAGTTTTGAATAATCATACAATTATTACAAGTGATCAGTTAGTTAATAACCGCTCAATTATCTTAAATCAGTCAGTCAGTCTCATATCTAAAGGGTCAATTCTCTTGGCAGGAACTAGAAATAGGCAACACACACAGCTCTTGATTATATTACAGTGAATTTATTCTCTAACTAAGGTGAAAAAAAGATTGTTGGATACAGGGAACATAAACATTTGCTGAACAATGAGCCTGGAGGTTCGGTTGCGGGAAGCATTTGACTCATACGGCATAGAAGAGCTAATTAAAGTAAACTAATGCTATGTTTTTTGGAGTTAAAATGGACATCTGATCACAGAACGTGTGTTAAGTCTTACTGCTTGTCGAGAGCCTGCTTTTGGCCTGTTGCACGGGTCCCACGCTAGCTGCCCGATCCTGGCTTTTTGCTAGGGATTCTCCGGGGTTCTCCGTGTCTGATTGAAAATGCCTCCTCCGTCTGGCAATTCGGCTGTTTTCAGGTTTCCTTCGTTGTAGCTGGCGAGACCACATGGCTTGGTCTGACCTCGGTGAAGTTGGCTTGACGAAAAAGGCTTAGAATGGAACTTGGTCGTTCCTGAATTAGTCCAGTGTAACTTAACAAACTGATAACTTTAACAAATAAAAGAAATAAAGAAAATAAAACAAACTGAAGGTAGATCGATGTCTCGGTACTTCACGTGTGTAGCTTCAAGTGAAACAAAAGGCTGGTTGTTTCGCTGGTCGACTGAGGGCGTTGCCTGGCGCGGCATGCGTCGGTGTGCCACGCCAGGCGAAGAGAAAGGCGAAGAGAAAGAGAGCGAAGCGAGGTCGCGTGTTGCTCTTTTGTTACCTGGGGCGTGGTTCCCCAGGGGGCGTCTCAGGTTTCCCATGGGACTGCCTTTCTAAACTTAATGTCTAAAGAAAAGAAATCTATTTGCACGTATTATAATCAAATATTCAATGTCAATGGTTGAACGGTTGTACTGTTCTAAGTTAAGCATTTGGTAACAGGAAACAATTGTCACATTATTGGTCAGGATATTTATACATTTAACGGCATTTCCGACGAGGCCATGTAATACTTATTTCGTCCACTTGGGGGAGCTCAGGTTACATGAGGAAAGCTTGGATTAAATCAAAGATCCTCTCTACTTAGGAACTGGGTATATTGTTGATTCATCCTTAAATTCAAGCTGGCGATTAAGAGTATAGTAAAACATTTCTTTGTCATCATTTCTAAAGGAATTTTGTGGGAAAGTATTATGAACAAGCATTGATTACATCAGATGAAGGAGTGTCTTGCTGAAAATAAAAACACTGCACAAGTAACTTCTTTTCAGCACTAATATCAACAACAGATAGCAACAACAGTTAACATAACTACTCAAATAGAGGCAAACGTAATCAGGTAACTAAAGATTTAATTAAATGCTTTGAGTCTTTGGAGACTGCAGTCCTTTTACATTTAAAGTTCAGTGTCTGGACCATGTCACACTTGGGTGACAAGGGGGTTTTCCTTTTTGATGTGGTAATAAAACAAAGAATAAGGTCAGTTGCCACGGAAACATGTGTGGGGGGCCAGTTTTGATAGGCTGTTTAGGGAAATGCCAATGGCTGGTTCGTGTCCCTTTGTCAGTTTAACAGTCAGCTTCGGAATCAAAAAGGTGCCAGTTTTATGGTCGGGATAGCACTTAGAGAAAGCAACTTTGACCCCTCCCCTTCTTCTCTGGGGAGGAGAAAGGAATTTAGGGTAGCTCCAAATTTATTCAATGTAAAATGCACAAATCCACACCGTTGTTCACTACACTATAGACTAAATGAAAAATGGTACAGATATTTACAGTAGTGTTAATGATAATATTCGTAATGATTATAATTACAATAATAACAATAGGACTAGTAACAATAGTCGTTGCAGCAGAGGGTGTCGAGCAGGAACACGGGGGCAGCAGGTGACCCGCAACCACAGATCCAGACTCCACAGCTCCAGAGCCAGAAACACCTGCAGGAAGTGATAGGAGGAGAGAGGAGAGGGACGAGAAAGCACAAGACTACCGGAAAGGGGAGAAACAACGCGGTTGAAGCTTTCTCATTTGATAGACTTTGTTATTCATTCAGTTAGGCTACCATCGACCCACATGAGGAGTGCAACATGTTGTACAACATAGAGGTCTAAAGCCTCTTCATTTTATGTCCACCAAAAGATGAGCTTTCGTTTAAATGAAAAAACTATTTAGTATTTACAATTTAGCTGTATAGCCCCAAAGATCTCTCTGTGCTTCTTCTGTCCAACAGGAGCACTGCAACAGCCTGGGTGCCCACCTGGCCTCGGTCACCAACCCCAGAGAGCATAGCTTCCTTCAGCAAATCACACAGACAGCCGGTCAGAGCATCGCATGGCTGGGAGGCTTCAACCTACAGGTCTGGATTTTTGAAATACTGAGTCAGTCCAGATCAAGCCCAGGACATCTAGACTCTAGACAAGATGGATTTGAGAGCAAATGAATAGACAACAATTCCTTACACTCATGCTCTTTGTCTCTCAGGGACGGTGGATGTGGATTGACCGTGAGGGTTTCTATTACACCAACTGGTACTCCCCCTCCTCCTCCAGCAGCTACCCCTGCATCTACTTACGCACCACCAGTGAGTCCACCTGTTTGCTTTGGCTGGCTAGCTGCATCAGCTAAACTTTTCTATTTTCTCATAGGGAGTATAACGTGATGAAAACACTGCTATAACCTTAGTTAATGTGTTAGTTTAGAGAAAACCTACTATGTGGCTATCTGTGAAGGTGCCGCCTGGCTGTTTTGCTGAAAAGGCCACATTAGACATATTTAGAATTGTCAAATTTGACGTGATATTTGCTGAACTCTTACATCCCAGGTTATAACCTCTATCTCACAGAGCTGTTACAGTGATGGTTGCATGCACTTCCATCTATTTACTCTTACAGTTGTATGTGTGAATGTTATCTGGATTTCTATCTGTCTCAGAGTGTGGATATCTGTTTTTAGCCTTATGGGAGACAATGCCCCCATCAGACTAAACATGACACTGACTTGTATGTCAGGGGTAGTTCTGATTTACCATATTTTGTGAAATGTGGAAAAATCTTTTGTTAACCCCCCCAAAAAAGAATTCAATGTTAATGTTGTTTTTTTTTTCTTTTCAGATGGTTGGGGTAACACCCAGTGTGGCTCAGCTTATCGCTTCATCTGTTCCAAGAACCCGTTCAGCTGTTAAAATACATACTGAACATCTGGAACCTTGGGATGTATCAGCTGGGATACTGTTTCTTTTTAAAGCCAATTCATGAATAGTTGTGTGTCTTACAATTTCCTCTTGTGTATTCTTGAAAGAGTTAAGTAACTTTTATGTAAAAGCATTTCTGTTTGTAATTGTTGAGAAAGGTTCTTTTTAATAATAAAGACTTGGATACAAAGAAGACTGGAAGACTTGGATAAGAATTGGATATGTGTGATATTCCTTTAAGAGTTTGGTTGAAAAGTGGTTGTTTAAGTTCAGTGCTATTACTATAGTAACGTATTTGTTTTAATTTTTTAGTGTACACTTTGAGTTAAATATTATTATAAACTGAATAGATTCTTGATGATGACGATGATCATCTTGATAATCTGACAGATTTATGTACTATAATAACAAGAAATCAAAGTCTATAAAAGCAGACACTGAATATTGTCCACTCCCACCCCCCTGAACTCAACTGAACTTCTCACTTTTTATTGCTCATGACATACACTCACTCCAAATCACCTTATAGCTATTCTTACATCCTTGCACTTGATGAGCCAAAAATGACATGTATGGCCAGATGCTGGTGCCGAAAGTTATATTGCTACCTGAATCTGAAGGTTTGCATTCTGGTATAACTCAGATAAAATGTATAGTGTTTACATTCTCTCTCTTACTGTGTGTGTGTGTGTGTGTGTGTTTGGGTGTGTGCACAAGCAGACTGTGTTGTGTGTTAGCTACAAGAGATGAGGCAAATAAAGAATCAGATTATGCTGAAGAACAAGACACCTGCCCCCTCAGTTGTTATCTGCAACTGCACTGAACAAAAGACCAAGCCTGGAAAGCCTAAGCTGGAACTCACAGTATAGTGCTACTACCAACATGGCATGTGTACAGACAGTGAAAGTGCTACACACTGAGCTACTCAATGTTTTTAAAAATATAATAAAAAATTACAATGGTGTCCCATAAAATAGAGATGTTACAGTGTGTGTGTGTGTGTGCATAAAAATCAAAGCCCTCACCTTGCACTCTCCCTGGTTCAGCTTCCCCTGTGCTGGACTCCAGCAGCCATTGCTTGTACTGATTGTACATATTTGCTACATATGCATGACAACATCAGTAATAAATATGGCTAACAATAATCCATTTTCTAATTCTATCTATGCATGATATGATTGCCAACCCGGTCTTGCACACTGCCCCTGTACCTGTCATGCTTGATCAGCGTTTTTTAATGCGCATTTAGAAGTATTGCGTTCGAAAAGGTTGATGGAGACGCTAAAATTAAAACAAACTTTGTCTATTTCGCTTGAGGTGGTTTTTGTCTTTTTGAAAAAGAGTAATTGCGCTAAATGGGAGATGGGAACACCTTTGTTCTGATGTAGCGAACAATTACCTCACATGATTGATCATTTGTTTTTGCTGTCGACGTCCTCTTGGATATTCCCATAACGCACAGAAGCACGGCTGGTAGCATTTGGCCCTCTTGAAGCATATTTCTGAAGACCTATCTCCTTTTTCTCAAATCAGTGGTCCTCAGGTCCATGCTACTGGTTTTGTTTCTGATTTATGTAATGTCAACTACGGTTGATGGAAACGTGCCTAACTCTTTTTTTTTCAGATTGATGCAAATAGACCCATTCTTTTAAAAGAACAGAGATCTGAGTTGAGATGCCGCCATGTAACAACTGATTTTCAACTTCTTTTGCACCTCCTTGGCTCTTGGCTGACATTTCAACCATAAATTTGTGCAGAAAATGTCTCTTTAGAGTGCAGGAAATTAAGTGTGCTCAAAATCTTCTGGGGGAGAAACCCCCAGGCCCCCAATCCTAAATTCATGACTAAATATTTTGTTTCTAAATAGTATTAAAATTTATTCTTGTCTTGTTATAATGACCCCAAACTTGTGCAATGTCACGTCTCATGGGCTAAGTGTTTCTACATGCCCCTAATCTGAGCCCTTAAATGTCCCCACAACTTTTCAACACAAAGCACGCAAACCTTAGGGTGTGTGCCATGCTGTATAGACAATGATGATAATTACAACATAACATAATAATTATGATTATAACACACTCACACTAACATCATAACACACACAAAGTGAGACTACCTGCTGTCACCTACTGCTGGTGATCACCCACTGACATCAGTGTTGCATTTACATTATTTTTGTAGCTAGCATAATTTCCTAATGGATTCCATTGTTGATACCTCGTTGGTCACGTTGTATTTCAATGCCTGTAGTGTAGTGTTTGGCTGCCTGCTTCTTTCTTCTTGTACGCAGTGGGAGGGACAGATGTACTCTCACCGTGATCACGTCCCAGGTTTATCCTGTCTGTTCCAATTGCAACTGAGACAGACCAGCCTTTGTTTGTGGCCATTGTGAGCTAACAGCTTTAGGAAACAATGGTCATCTCAGCATGCTTCACTGCATTAAAAGTGGGATTTTTGTCCCTGGAAACTGCCTTGAATCCCCAGCAGTTATTGGTCGTTTTCGGCGCTGTGCCGAAAATCATATCCCCCCCCTTCCCTGGAGGATCTGATTGGTTGGTAGATCTGTCTTTATTGGTCACCTTGGGCCTTTAGAAACACAGACTTGGGTAAACCCCTCAACGCTAATAATAATGTAGAATTAAGAACTCTGTATTAAATAAATACTGTGCTTACTGAAGACTACATTCATGTTACATGTAGTATTCATGCTCATGAATTTACGAGACACATCTTGATTACAATTAAATTTATTTGTTAAAAAGGCAAATGTGAAAAAACATTTACAAATCATATCAAATGCTGGGTGTAGCTGTCCACCTCTGAGTCACATGGTGGTGGCTGTCAGAACAGCATCCATTGTACAGACACCTGTGATGCAGTGCTTTATAATTTGGATTGGCCTTCCAGCCTTGTCTGCAGCGTGCAAAAGAGGTCGCGGTTTCCTGGCCGCAAGACTCACTCAAAACTGCAATCTTCCTCATTTGACATCAGAGCTATAGTGACGTAACTTGATCTGCTGCCAATACGCCTCACTTCCAGCAGCGGTAAACACAAACAGAACAGACAAGGTACATTTGTAACTCACTTCTGCTACAAAGCAGAAAACATACAGCTTACAAAAATAATCACAGAAAAAACAGTAATAAACTATAAACTATATTTATATATAACAAGAGTCATCAACTTACTTTCATGTCAGTGCACAGCCTGCTCTCCAACACACACACACACACACACACACACACACCGGGAACTCAGCATGTATATCTCACCTCTAAATTAAACAGAAAATTAACTAAATTGTTCTTTAAATGGGCCAGTTCAAACCTTTAAAAGGCAACATGAAAAAAAACAAACAAAAGAATCAGCAGAAATACAACTTAGAAAGCTATTAGAAAAGTAAATCTACTAAATTAAACATTGACTTAAACAAGCAAATAAATTAAAATTCACATACAAGGCTCCATATTTCATTACTTTGTTATAAAAAAAAATTTATTCACAGTTCAGGTCTTATAGATGCACTAAAATCATATTAGAAAGCATCTGTAATTCCATCTAGCAACCACAGCTAAATATAGCATATGTGCGAGAAAACAGCTCTACATATTATTATATATGTATATTATTATTATCATTTTTATCATATATAGTGTTCAACATTTCAATAACAACATGTTGTGTTCAACATGTTGAATAACAAAATGCACCGATACAGCTAATGTATAATAGCCAGTGAGACAAACCCAAACCTTCCTTATCTTCTCCCTGTTTTTTTCTGTCTTACCGCTTCAGCTGCTGATGACGTCTCTCTGTCTCTGTCACAGAACGACCAGAGCACCGGCATTTCTCTTGGTACTTTGGTAGTGAGTCCAACTATCTTTTGACCATTAGCAGCGGGGCAGGGAGGGGGTTCCGGTCGGTTGTCGTCTTAAACATTACTTGTATACTGCTCATGAATCACTGTTCTCATTGAAAGTAAAGTTATTTGTTTTAGGAGCACATGTGAGAGCGTGTGGGCAGGGATAATGACAGCTGTGCACAGAGAATAGTGTCACACGCACCTTTTCTGTTTCTTAAATTGCACACTTTTTGCGGTTATGTAATAGCACATGACGACATTAGATAGATAGACATAGATAGATAGATACTTTATTTATCCCGAGGGAAATTCAAGTATCCTGTAGCATACGAAACATACATTAAACCCATATTAAAATAAAATTAAAATAATTTATAACACAGTAGCCACAGTAAACAGTGAAAATGGAGTGCAGATGGAAGTAAAGAGAACAGATTTTGTCATTTGTCCTCCCTGCCATGAATAGGAGCTGTTGGACAGTCTGATGGCCAGGGGGACGAAAGAGTTTTTTGTCTGTTGGTGGAGCTGGGCTGGGACAGCAGTCTGCCACTGAACACATTCCTCTGCCCGATGAAGGTGTTGTGCAGAGGGTGGTGTGCGTGGTCCAGTATGGACAGCAGTTTGTCCAATTTGCAATTGCGATTTCATTAATTGTGCAGCCTTATATAAGAGCAGAGTAACATGCTGAAACGGCTTTTCTAACACTGTTTTCCAGCAAAACTCATTAAAAACTGCAGTTAGTGAACTCAAATCACACCAGGACTCACACAGGACAGGTCTGATAATACATACAACAGAATACAGCGGTTTCCTTTTAGTTACACTTGATAACTTTTATTGACTGAGCTGCAACTTACCTTGTGCCCACAGCTCGTGCCATTGTAAACGACTGGACGTTGTAAGGGACCTACATCATCACGCTGACCACGTCCATCCCAGACAAATTAAGCAAAAAGAGTATTTATACGTTCAAAAGCTTGCTGGGCTGAGAAAGGGTAAAATAAATTCTTACTTTTTTAGTCTGGAGGTCTCCTTCTTCTTCTTGACCATTATTAGTGATTGGCAAATAATGAATTGGCGCACTAGCGCCACCAACTGGTAAGAAGCGTGGATCCAAGGATTAGTCCTTATTTTATTAACAATTGTTAAAAGAATCTGCGGAGAGCATTGATAAAAATGGAGGAGCTCATAGAGTCTATGACCTCTATGTGGACGGCTCTCGTTGTCATGCAAGTAAATAGCACTGCCCATCTCTTACTATTTGCTTGCTGACCTCTTGTGTGTCGTGCAGTAACCTCTGTTGGACCGTGAATTTAAATTACCATTTTTAAACTATGTG